GCAGAACTCTGGTCTTCTAACTTGTAACTGTCTGACAGCAGTAAAGACATCGACCCTGTCATCCATGTTAATCTGTTGTATCACGTTATGAACGGCACAGAAAACACCACACAGGGATGCACCATCTCTGTTGCAAGAAAGATAAGATGCAATAAGGGAAAAATGAAACACACAAAATCGTATTGTAGGATTTGTCATAGGGACGGAGGAAAGTAATTAAGGACAGAAAAGGATCTGCTCAACCCCCCTCCCCCCCACCTTCCACAAAACTATACTCCTTTATATCAACCTTTAAATCAAAGAAACAAGATATTAACAGGGGAAAAATGGAAATATTTTTTGATTAGGGGTTGGCATGAATAACTGAGCTCACGTAACATGTTTTACTTTTCAGTTAGAGAGTTATGACAATAAACATGAGATCATACACATTTTAAAAATGGAAAATCGAGATAAATTGTAGAAATTTTCATACAATTTACTAAACACAAAGAGCGTCCCTTCCATCAAGTGCTCTCTCGTTTATTCTCGTTATTACTAAGTGAAACCCAATATCAAAACTATCGATGAAAATGTTTGTTACTTTACGGTAAAAAAATGAATACCATACTGAATGCTTTGGAAAGAACAAGAAATAAAAATATGACGCCGGTATGTCAACATATATATCATAATTTCAGTATCTCGATCAATGCTAGCAATCTAGAGCTCTGAATCCTGTCAAACCCTTTGCAACACTCGCTGAACCAACAAAGGGTTAAAATAGTGACAGAAAAAAGTGCAAAATCTAAGACAAACCAATATTTCACCTTTAAGAGTTTGACTGACACTCTTACTGGTAAATATCAAAGAAATTTACAAGCACTATCACATTTGAGATTTCTGTCTGCACTCTATATTCATTTTGTATAAACAAACTTATGAAAGTTTTTGTAACATTAAAGTTATAAAATAAATGAATTATGAAAATGATATATAAGAATATAAATGGATTACTTGCTGACGACTGTAATCGGTTTCTCATTCACGGAACTTAGTGATACGGATACCAAGCCTCTAAGCTGGGATGTATCTAGAGGGTTTCCGGATTTTTTGATGGTGACTTTCGGTTCTATTATCGTCACTGACTGAGCCTCCTCCTCAATCTAAAATTAATAAAAAAAAATGGAACAAAGGATAAAACAATAACATATTCCATTCTTAACCATGTTTTATGAATAATAAAAGCTTCAAACATCAATTTAAGATTGCAGCACAGGATGAAATGTAAGATTTGAGAAGTTTTATTTAATTCAATATTTAATATCTTTTGACCAGAAAGAAAAAAAGTCCAGAATATTGCTTTCTATATTGTATACATGTACATGTAGATTGTAATCATGATATAGATGTATACAAGACAGCCATTACATGCTTACGTATGAAACGTCACCAGTGAAAACTATTTACTTTATTTGGCATTAAGTGAATTGTGGTACTTTTAACGTCAGTTCCGGTCTTTGATTGATAGTGAACAGTGAAAGGAGTGACTATCTTGGAGGAGGAGGGAGTAGGTAACCACGCCTTACTCTAGAACGAAGGAAGACTGGGGTACAGTGTTCTTACAATTCAAATGGACATTTATCACAACCTTATCTTATTAGTAAATGCTAAATTATCTGAATGTTCTGAATCATTAATGCAAACATCAATTTCGCTGATTTAGCTTCTTAAAATTATCCATTCATGAGCGATAAATCGGATTTCTTGATCAATTTCTGTATTAAGTTAATTTAAATTTTAATATCTGAGTCAAAATTTACATTACCACTTTTTTCTTAAAATCCCAGTGCTTAAGTTACGCATTCTGAACATTTTATGTAAATACCGATTCAATCTCATTCAGTGGATCCAAACAGATGACAGTGTCAGATTCATGATCATTGAGCAGGCGGAGGAAGTCAACAGAGTCCTCTGCCGGTGGATACCGCGTTACTACAAACGCTCTACTCTTGGTGTATGACTAAAAAAAAATCGCAAAAAATCAAACAATAACATATCCATTGTTTTCAGATTGGGAAGGTGGGCGAATTTTATATTCAAGAAAAAAATCAATTTTTCGAATTAAGACAGGTGATAAGGAACCAGTTTATTCTGAGAATTGTAAGCAGTGAAAAATGTATATATAAGATTTATACATGTTAAGGAGTTTATTTTTCGTGGAGAGAAGTAATATTAATTAGATCGTCAATATTTTCTCTTACTGGTACATATATTGCGTTGATGAAGTTTCCTCTTTTTGACACGACAGATGAGAGATGGACACTGTATTTATCCACTATTTAGCGAAATAAAGAATAAATTTCATAAAACAATAAACAAGGCATGATTTCATTTTGTCGTTTGAGAAATTAGAACGCCTGTTAAATACGTTTCATCTTTAGAAAACACTTTGAATTAAATGCAAGTGAAATACTCAAACGTGGCAATGTAAAGTTCAATCCTCCATTTCTTTCTATATGACTGCATGTATCTTTTAAACCCTTGTTTAATTTTCCTCAATTCTGAACCATTACAACCTTTTGCATTTCGCCTTCGTTACATCTAGATTTACAATGCTATCACAAGAACGTAACTGGCATATTTATACCGCTTGATTCTGCCATGATAGCGTTTATATTTTGATCTAAGTGCCTGAAAGTTGTCATAAAAAGCGTGGATTTTGGGAATATCTAGCTAGCGCGATATCTTTATCTCTCATCATTGAAACATTTAGGTATCATTTCTCAAATAACTTCTGCTTCATTATTATATAACAATAAAGATAATATCGAGAGAAATTGACCAATAACTATCAAATTGAATATGAAAGTAATAATGTAATATTAAAAATATTCTAAACCTATCGTTCCCTTTGAAATGCCCTGACTTAATACTGACAAGGTAGTATACCATTCGTGTGTTCACCACCACAGCCTTCTTTAGCTAATTTGTAATCAGAGTCGGTGTATGTTGGTCGTACTTTCATCAAAAGCTACAGAAATAGAGATTTATCCAAGAAGCATTCACTTATGAGTAACGTAACTTTGCAGAATTAAACAAGCAATATGCCTCGATTGCATATAGTTTCATAACTTTAACTCATCTTTACATGTACCTTACATCAATATCATGTACAATCACAAAAACTCTTAAAAACGCAAACTCTACAGGCATTCATTTACTCAATAAGTCTTTCTATTGACGTATAGACTGCCTTCTTTAAAATCTTCCCTATCCACAAGTAATCAATTTGACGACTTGTTGCAATAGACTCATTCTTTCCCTGCCTGGTTATAAGTCTGCCATCTTTCCTCAATCACTCACTCGATCAATCACACACTCAATCTCCGACTCGTTAACTCACTTCCTCCCTCCCTGAATTCCTTACTGACTGTCACCCACATGCTCTTTTACTCAGTAACTCACTCACTCATTGACTTACACTCCTCCTCGCTCAACGACTTTCTTTCTAACTTGCTTACTGATTGACTGACTCACTTACTCATTTGTTCGCTCGACCTCTCTCACTAATTCATTTTGTGTCTAACATATTCCTTCCTTTTTATTTTTCCATCACTCACCTATCCAGAAACTTTTGTCTTTTATCATTCACCCAGTCAATAATCTTTTTATCCTGACATTACTTCAGACAGACACTCATCTTTAACATGCCTATACAGTACCTGGAATTCTTTATGTAGTTCGCTCTGATTGGCTGGTTTGTCCATCGTGATAGATTGAGCCTTTTCAATAAACTCTTCAACTGAGTTTACATTCACAGGGGATTTGTATATTTCGTTTAACGCAAGGAAAATAGTTATATACTGCTCCTGAAATATTTTGAATATTCTTTTAGAATGCTAATTTCATTTAAAAAAAGAGAAAAGAGAAAAGAAGAGACATGTCCAAATTAATCTTTGGGTTTTTTACTACCAGATATATATAATTTAAATAACTAAGAAATGCAATTAATTTTCTATCTTGGGTAAATATTCACATTCATTGTTAAACTTGACTTGTATGTATTGTAAATAACTTGCAGTTTATTTAGTTTTCAATAACTTGCAATAAATAAAGACCTTAATAAGGCAACAAGTACACACTCATTATTCTTTACAATGGCATTTATCAACGGTAGTGTGTGTGACAAAGATTACATTTTCTAGTAATGTTTCTTAAATCAAACACTTCTCAGATGAATTGACAAGCATAGACTGTATTTTTAAAAGGATTATTTAAGAAACAGACTGCTTTTTGAAGGGTTATGATAATTATCAAGACTATTGTTTGAGAGGGTTGATATAGACTGTTATTTTAGGAAGAATTGATTAAGACTGTTAGTTTAGTATTGCTATTTTAATAACTTGTTGTTAAGTAGGATTGACGTACATGTTTTTAGTACTTTTACTTGACAATGATTGTTATTTAAAGTTGGATGACATAAATTGTTATTCAAGTATTGTTTTACACACCAAATGTTCTTTAGTACTGATAATTTTCAGAAACTGTTGCTTTAGAGGATTTTCATAGACCATTATTTCAGTATGTTATTTTAGATTTAATGATATTTTATGACTGTTAACATGGACTGTTATTTCAGTATTGTTTAATAAATCGACTGTTTTTTTTTTACTATTGTCGTTTAACAAAGACTGATATTATATGATTGACGTACGTAGGTTTGGACCATATTCATCCTGTTTTCTCTCATCTTCTTGACATATTCCGCTACGTTGACTTTTCCCGTCTTTCTCCCTATTTTGTTCAAGGCGTCTATTGCTATGTATGTCCCCGTTCTTCCTATACCCGCACTATAACTCAGAAGATATAATTATCTGTGCTTATCAAACTTTTAATTTACATGCATCTAGCAATATCACATTTTCATATCTATATTTTAAATCATTATACTTTCATGCTTATCAAAAACCTTATGAAAAAATTACAAGTAAAACGTGCTAATCTAAAGAAGAATGCACCTGCAATGCACAACAGTCGGAGAGTCATTCTGATTGGTTCGTGTTCTCGTCACGTGATCAAGGAAGACAACAAGACATAGAGGATCCGGGGTTCCGTGGTCTGGCCAAGACGTATAATGATGCTGAGTCACCACACGTGACTTCTTCGTCTAAAAAGTACATTTAATACACAAGAGGCCCATGTGCCATAATGTTCACCTAGGTATATACATGTATGGTCCTTCTGTTCTTCTAAGCAGATTTTATCTCTCCTATATATTCTTATGTAAATCTTTTATCATATATTATGGTCCCACCAGGGGGTCATGATTTGAACAAACTTCAATCAACTCAAGATGCTTACATATAGATATGACTAATCATGACCTTTTTGTTGTTGACATGAAGATTTTTAAAGATTTTCCTTCTGTATTCATAAGTAAAAATTTGATTGCCCACTGTGGCCCCATCCTACTCCCAGGGCTTATGATTTGATCAAAATTGAATCTACAGTGCCTGTGAGTGTTTCCATATAAATATGACTGATCATGGCTGAGCTGTTCTGTGAAAAAGATATTTTAAGACTTCTCCTATATATTCCTATGTCAATCTTTGAACGCGTATATCTGCCCAATCTTTTACCCAGGGGGTATAGAAAAAACTTCAATCTACACTACTTGAGGATAATTCCATATAAATATGACTGATCAAGGCTTGTCTTGAGAAGATTCTAAAAAGATTTTTTCCACTATATACATGTATATATTTATGCATAATCTGGATTTCCTGATGTATCCAAACCCTACCCTGAGAAAAAAAAATTAAAAAAGGGATTTTCCCTATATATACCTTTATAAAATTTCCCTTCTGTATTACTATAACTGATAGTGACTTTGCTGTTCTTTAGAAGAAGATTTTTAGAGATATATCCTGAATATTCCTATGCTTCTGTTGTGGTCTCGCACTATAACACCGGGGTCTTGATTTGAACAAATACGAATCTACGTACTGGTAAATTTCATCTTTTATAGCCCTGCTGTTCTGGAGAAGTAGATTTTTACAAGATGTCTCCAAATGTTTACGAATTCTTAATTATCTCCCCTTTAAAGAGGGCCTACCACTTCCTGTGAACAAACTTAAACCCAGGCTGCTTTGTTGCAAATTTGGCTGAAATTGGCTCAGAGATTTTGGAGAAGTCGAAAATAAAATTGACAGACAACACACACCTCACGACAAACAGACAAAAAGACGAACGTCGGACATTTTTCATTAGAAAAGCTTATGATTTTGATGTAGTTTAGCAATGCTAAGATAATGTTATAAATTTGAAATATGCCTTGAAGATAATTTAAAACTATGTCCAAAAAAAAAGAACTTTTCATTTTCATGCTAAATTGGTGAGCTTTTTGTGTTTTAAAAGATCCACTCTTTTTAATCATTAAGTACATGTACATGTATACATATGTGCATAAAATGTTATTTTTTAAATTGAATGGGGGAAAAATGCTATAGCTAATGGTGAAAATTTTACAGCCAAAAAAAAAAAAAAAAAAAAAAAATAAAAAAAAAAAAAAAAATAATAATAATAATAACTGAAAAGATATGACTTTTTGTAACAACCAAATACAATAACATTTTTTTTTATAATGAAATATCATAAAAAGAAATGCATGTGAATTAAGGCTAGGTATAAGCGTTTCTATGCAAATGAGCTAATAAAAAAGGATAAGAGGTAAATTTATTATTCGGAGAAAATTTTGATTAATTTTCTTATACATACTTAGTACCCATGATATGTTATAGCCTGTATACATTTTGACGTCGTATCATGACGTCAGTGTTCATACCTACTGGATGAAATATAACACATAAACAAAACAGCTACGGCGCAAGGGATAATCCTAATTAATTTGACTTAAAAATTGTAAAATGCTAAAAAGAATATACTATAGAATAATAAAACTACTGCACAGATCCTAGACATTTTATCGATTGATTGAAATTTGAGGAAACTTATACAGGACTGTACATTTTTATCTTGATTCAACTTAGAATTATGCAAATAGTAATTAAACAACTGAGCTGTTGATATATATATATATATATATATATATATATATATATATATATATATATATATATATATATATATATATATATATATATATATATATATATATATATATATATATATAAAGCACTAAAAACCAACAACACTGTATATCCTAAGTGTCGGATCTACTAAGTAGATACAAGGTCACGGATGGAAATTTATATAAAGCACTAAAAATGACCAACGACACGAACAATAATAATTGTCAAATTTTCGGGACAACCTGTCCCTTCCTCAGGACAAAGAAAAAAGTTAAGAAGTCATAAAAACAAAGGAAATAGAGAAGCAAAAACAACTAGCACTACTACTAAACTACCAAACACTAAATATTTACAATGTTACATGTTTAATTTGGAGTTTATAAACAGTTGTGAACAAAGAAATCCGGAGCGCTATGAATTGCGTCCGGTCTATCGGGTGTAGTCTGGTGAAGTGTGATTTACATAATTGAACGAATTAATTATCGCTAATTAATTACGGCCAACAGTAAATCGTACATTGTCTTATTCTCTCAAAATAGCGTAACTCTACATGATAAAAAGAAATTAAAGAAAGATAATATGGAAGGACAATTTTGAAATATGAATTTGGATATATTATAAATTTGGAAATCGGAAAAAAGAAATAAACAAAAATTTGAGCTGTAAATATTTGGGTAGGTTGTTCCAGGATTACTGATACGAATTAACGGTAAAGTTTACACTATATAGAGAGAATGAACTTGTTTGTTACAATCCGAGATTGGGTCTAGTTCACGTTCATCCTGGTGAAGTCATTAAGTTTGTTAATACCATTAGGGCGGAATGACTTCAGCCTGTGCATCCAGAACTTTTCCTTGCCTTTTCTCTGCGCGTCTGTCCATCTTGGATTATGGTCAATAACCACTACTGTCATGTCCTCCCATTTGTGTCCTTCAAGGTTGAAATGTTCCCCAACGGGTTCATTGAGTTTTTTGGTCCTAATGGTAGAACGGTGATTATTGACCCTCCTGCGAAGATCCCCTGTTTCACCAACATACTGTTTGGAGCAAACTTTGCAACTGATGAGATAAATGCAGTTGTCTGTTTGACAGGACAGATTCCCTAGTATTTTGTAGCTGCGGCCTGCAACGGGGCTGTTAAAACTGTCTGTGTCAGAACTGTACTTACAGAGAAGACATCTTCTGTCAGAGCAAGTTTTAAAGCCCCCGTTAGGTAATGGATTGTCCAATCTGGTTCTTACTACCATGTCCTTCAGGTTCCTCGCCCGTTTTAACAGCCCCGTTACAGGCCGCAGCTACAAAATACTAGGGAATCTGTCCTGTCAAACAGACAACTGCATTTATCTCATCAGTTGCAAAGTTTGCTCCAAACAGTATGTTGGTGAAACAGGGGATCTTCGCAGGAGGGTCAATAATCACCGTTCTACCATTAGGACCAAAAAACTCAATGAACCCGTTGGGGAACATTTCAACCTTGAAGGACACAAATGGGAGGACATGACAGTAGTGGTTATTGACCATAATCCAAGATGGACAGACGCGCAGAGAAAAGGCAAGGAAAAGTTCTGGATGCACAGGCTGAAGTCATTCTGCCCTAATGGTATTAACAAACTTAATGACTTCACCAGGATGAACGTGAACTAGACCCAATCTCGGATTGTAACAAACAAGTTCATTCTCTCTATATAGTGTAAACTTTACCGTTAATTCGTATCAGTAATCCTGGAACAACCTACCCAAATATTTACAGCTCAAATTTTTGTTTATTTCTTTTTTCCGATTTCCAAATTTATAATATATCCAAATTCATATTTCAAAATTGTCCTTCCATATTATCTTTCTTTAATTTCTTTTTATCATGTAGAGTTACGCTATTTTGAGAGAATAAGACAATGTACGATTTACTGTTGGCCGTAATTAATTAGCGATAATTAATTCGTTCAATTATGTAAATCACACTTCACCAGACTACACCCGATAGACCGGACGCAATTCATAGCGCTCCGGATTTCTTTGTTCACAACTGTTTATAAACTCCAAATTAAACATGTAACATTGTAAATATTTAGTGTTTGGTAGTTTAGTAGTAGTGCTAGTTGTTTTTGCTTCTCTATTTCCTTTGTTTTTATGACTTCTTAACTTTTTTCTTTGTCCTGAGGAAGGGACAGGTTGTCCCGAAAATTTGACAATTATTATTGTTCGTGTCGTTGGTCATTTTTAGTGCTTTATATATATATATATATATATATATATATATATATATATATATATATATATATATATATATATATATATATATATATATATATATATATATATATATATATAGGTGAAATACCTACCTCTTTTTGGATTACAGTCATTTTTCGAACAACGTAGAATGCGTACTCTTTTTCCTCGATCATTTTCACAGATACAATTCCGTAATTGATGTGTTTGTTTCCATCCGGCCAGTATTGTGTACACTTGATCTTCAAGAATATGGATTTTGAAAATGTATAATGACTTCTCGATGTAATTATTGACGCGCATGTGCAAAAGGAGATTCACAGGGCCAGATAGGATTGTACTGCAATGAAACTACAGTTTTTCTTAATTACCTTTATTTTTTGTCTTTTGAATTCTCATTCCCTTCCTACTTTTAATATTATTGTTTCCTCATTACAACGTTGAAATATAAAAAATAGTTTATTGGATTTTTTTTTTACTTATATATGTGTTTTAGCTTGCAATTCGAAATTTGATGGGTTAATTAAAACAAAATTATGTAATCTTTATAATATTTTACTGACATCTACACATATTGGCTTTCAGCTGGAAGCTGATAACAGATTTCTAGAACGCCGACCAATTATTTACGATATTGTCAATCTGATTTACCTCATTTCACAAAAAATATCTACATCATATGGAATCTATAAACAGCAAAATGCAGATTTTTACTGACAAAAAATAGAAAATATTTCAGAAAGACAAGTGTGAACATTAAAACGACCCAGTCTATCAGTGGAATCGTGTTTTTGTACAAAAGAAGTAAACTTGTATATCTTTTAGCAAATCAAGTTCAGAGTGAACAATTAAAATGTAGACAGTGAAATCTCATACGGAAAGATTAATGATTAAGGTACCATGAATTGATAACACTGTCATCTCAAAAATTGTTTAAAAACACGTTTAAAAACCATTATTCTTATATTCCAGCCAAAATATATTTCAATGTATTACTATAGGATTTTTAAAACTGTTTCTGAATAAAAAACAGTATTACAGAAACTAGAAGTCTAACCAAAATTAAGACTACTTAGAAAACGGTTTTTATTACCTCCTGGGGTGCAATTTGGAAAAACGTTTTCAAGGATAATTGATGGTCATTTCCCAGTTTAATTCTTTTTTGTCTTCGACGATTTTAGAGTCAATTACAGAAGATTAAAGAAGCATTCATATATCAATACAGAAATGTTACATATTTATTGTTTGACTGCAAGGTACCTTATTCCTTTCCTTCAGATTCGTCAGCATCACAATAGCAGATACATTCTCTTGCCAAATCATCGTCCAAAAATCACCAACAGTGTTTTGCTTTGGTCCTAAAAATAAATATTACATCAAGTAATTCGTACCTTCCCTATTTTGTTCTATCATTAGGGTATTAGTCCGGAATATACAATGCTGGACAAAAAATCAATGCTTTATCTGTTCATCTCCAGTCACCACATTCACAAAAAAGATAATTAAAGCATCATATTAAGGTCTTGTGTGAATTTGATTGCTTAGAATAAAAAAAAGAAAGATTGAATTAAAAAAGAAAACTCAGGTCATAGAATTACATTCAACTCTAAATAAGCATACAAATTTATCTTTGAGATACCTTCACAATATATGCCGTTGAAAAGATGGTCGTGTAATAACGGTAACCAGAAAAAAATGTATCAAAGAATGAGAAGTGGTACAGTAGTTTTTGAATTAAAGTTCTACTTCTGCTATTAGTACTATTAGCAAAGGACCACTATTTTAACAGTTTTATACCAGTATGTATTTAACAAAAAAAAATAATTTAATACAGCAACAATTGTTCCTTACAAGTTTTAAGGAATAAGAGAAAATTTACAATTTGTAATCGTTTTATACTGAAAATCCGTCAAGCTGATAATTATAAAAGTAAACTTCCGAAAAAAGATTCTCTTTTAACAGGGATTTTCCTAATATTACGCGGTGTAACAATATAATGTATCATAAAGTGGGTTTTGAGAGTTAAGTCATTTTACTTGTTAAGTAAAAGTGGACGTATTGTTTAGAATATACACAGAATCTAATCTGATATAATAGGAAACAGATAATTTGTAATATAAAAGTTGATGTCATTTGAACTTTAAGTTGATTCTTTTTCAATCATAAAACTATAAATACCTTGTGAAGCGATGTATTCATGATCTCTCTCAGCGCCCTAAAATGTAAAGATAAAATAAATGTGTTTGAATAATTAATATTAACAGAAACAGGTTCAAGATTATTTCAAAAAAACAAAATTTTCATCTACTATGATAAATATCTGAAGAATCATGTTATGTTTTATCGATTCTAACAAACGTGGTTTAAACTATGAAAAGTTTAAAGCACTTTTAGGAAGAGAGATTGATGCATTTAGATATTGTAAAAAACATTAACCTTTAAAAGTTTCCTTACCTCTATATAGTTGGCATTTATGTAGTCAGTTCCAGTCTCCGTCCTTAAGATTACCCTAGTATGGTCATCTTAAAAAAAAAAATATCAGCATTTTTTTTAAAATTTCAAATAAATGAATAAATAAATGATGTCATAAAATAAAAAAAAAATAAATTAAAAAAAATAAATAAATCAAATCAAATCAAACGAGTCTTACAAGGGAATGTAGTCTTAAATCTATTTTTAGGAACATTTTCATCTCTCTTTCCAATGTCACATTTGTGATTTTCACCATAAGGTAGAGTCTGAAATACAGCAGATGTATTTTATTTTAAACATTGTTCTTTAAGCATATCTAAGCTTTGTTCTTGAGCTCAAATTTTTAATTTACTATCGTAAATAATCTTATTACGACCCAAAACATTTTACTTAATTGATATATACCGGTAAATGCTATGATTGTACGTTATCAAAGGAATTTTGCTTACCTAAACACGGTTAAAATATAGTAGAAAATCTATATACTATTCAAAACTGACATATTGAAGGGATTGTGATGTATCTAATATAAATTTAAATCCTCTATCCTATATAAAGAGCACTCGAAATATCTGAACAAAAAAATCCTTCTGGCGTCTTGAGTTTGAAACATATATTACATTTAGAGATCACAAAATACAAACAATGAGGATTGTGATTAAAAGTTTTTTTTGTTTTGTTTTTTGTTTTTTTTTTTTTTTACATTTTTACTTAGGACGAATTCAATGCAGACACGGTGTCTGTTCGCAAACAAAACTTACCGCATACTCTTTCTGGAAACCGTCATTATCATCTTTGCTTTTCTCAGAAATGATACGCTCTAACCGACTAATCAGAATATCCGGCGTGGTGACATTATTCATGTACATTTCACCATACGGATTTTCTGCGTGTATAAGCTCATCTTCATCCACATCGATTGCGTTAACATCTTTATTACTAATCAGAGATTTTTCATCTTTTGCTTTTATGGAGGTCTTAAGTTTTCGTTTTTTGGAGGATGATAGACCAACGTCTGTAACGTTTTCCTCGCTATCTCCTTCCTCATCTTTAAACACAAGATAATTAATTTTTTTATTTTATATATTATATATTAAATACATAATGATAAGTCACATATAAATATAAATCTTAATAAACATATATCTCACAGTGTATTGCCCTTTTAAACTGTTTATTGTCCCCCATACCTTTGCGTGCATGATGCCTAATAAATTAAAAAAAAAAATATAAGAAAATGATGTTTTAAAAAGTGTCAAGTACTGGATAGTCGAAATCATATGTTTTGAAGTAATTGTGCTTTGTAAAAGAATTTTTTTTAGAGAGACAATTACCTTCTCAATACCAGCACAACAATCAAAATTACAAGAATGGCAGTTAAAGCTCCAGCAATTCCCCCAACGACTGCTACTTGATCTTTTCCCTTATTCTTCTGAGTGGAAGCCTTTCAAAAATGTGTTTGAAATATACAGTTAAAATTTTGCGATTTGTCGATGAAAGGAGAAGGATCTATATATTATGATTTGCTGCTTTAGTGCATACCTCAATACACTCACCCCATATATTGGGCATTCTCCAGAAAAGGAGTCACACGTATTATTTACACAACTGTCACTGCAGTTTTGCATACAGTCGAACCCATATGTATATGAGCTACATTCTGAAAGTAATCAGTTGCATCAAGATTACCTAAGAACCAGTTAAATGAACATTCCGAAAATAACCGTTGCATCAATCTTCTGAGGTATCAATATTAGTCATTAACATAAGATTGATGCATTATCTATAAATAATTTTTATGAATATACTTTACCCTGTAAACAGTCTATCCCTTGGTAACCTTGTCCACACCCACTTAAACAAGATCCATTTATGTGGTGACAGGAGGAAGGGGGGCGACATTTACCACACGTTTCACTACAGTTTTTGCCATATTGATTATTGGAGCATTCTAAATCAAATATCCTGAAATCATTTCTTTTAAATAAAGAAAGTTTTTTGTATTATAATTTTGCAAGGAAAGAAAGTATATAATATCAACTTTTGTTCAAGACATGACTTTTGTAAAATTAGTCTTAAACTGTTTGAAAAAAAAAAAAATTAAAAGAATATGCAGGTAAGATGTCATGCTTTCCACTTCAGTGTATATGATCTTGGAATTTTTTTTTCATACATTAATTTTGCATTTCTACGTCACATGTCATTCACTTTTTATACAACTCATTTTTATTGTAACTAAAACTGTGCTGTTGGTTCATGGTGAAGCTGCAAGTATATACTGAATTAAGAACACTTTGAAAATTTCTGTAATTTTTCCATATATTGAAGCTACATTCTTGATAAATTTAGAAAAAAAAAATTGCAATACACTTGTTACGTGAAATTTTATGTATTAGGTCTTCCTCTTTAACCAATATGATTTTATGGTCACTATTTAATTACAGATATCCTTCCATTTTTGTAATCCTACACATGACGTATTGTAGACAAATACACGTTTGAGAGTTTGTAAACAAATTTTACCTTTATCACCTTTTTATCGCGAATTAGGACTGCTTAAAAATATATTTTTATGCTTATTTTATAAGCTGCTCATTTTCATGTATAGTGCAAAATATGTAGAAAAAGTATATAGATTTGATTGAAGGATTGAATGTATACTGTGTTATGTCCCCTTCAAAAATATTTCCCTCAAATAAAGACGTCACCATATACCGGCAAAGGGCTTCAAATTTAGACTTATACCCAGCACTCGGAACCAGCGAACAAGGTGCGTTCTCAATCGTGCTAACGCCTACCGTGTCAGGGACCTCATCCGAAAGACCCGTAACTTTCACTTTTTATGCTGGACGCTTGGGGAAGGAAAAGTCACTACCTACGTTAAGATTTAAGTTTGACGCATCGCAGCAAACGAGAATCGAACCCGGGCCTCCCGATCATATATATATATATATATATATATATATATATATATATATATATATATATATATATATATATATATATATATATATATCTATCTATCTATCTATCTATCTATCTATCTATCTATCTATCTATCTATCTATATATGTATATATATATATATAATGTATGTTTTTGAATGAAAATTTTCATCATTTATTATTTGTGTGTGTGCTTAAATCTATTAAAGTATCATTGTAATTTGCGATTAAGAGAACTTGCAGATTACGTAAAAGGATACACAGTGTACAGTCCTTATACAAAGCAATTTTAAAAACTGTAAAATGCACTGTACCGTTACTGCACAGAAGTCCTTCCCATCCAGGTTGACATCCGCCATCACATTTCCCTGTCATCCTGTTGCATTGATTGGGTATACCACAATTTTCGTTGCAATTTTGTTCACAGTTATTCCCGAACTTTCCTTCTAAACATTCTGTACAAAAGCAAACCCTAAACATACAATAATTATCTTACACGTAATAGCAAGGAAACAAGCTCCAAGGGCAAAGTACACATTATACAAACAAATGAAATTCCTGTTAAAATCTAAACATTGTTCAAAGAAATTTTTATGATCCCAAAACTACCAATCATTTTTACAAGCATAGAAACGTAGGGGCTAAGGCAAAGCAACGACTTCTTCAAAATTGACATACAGTTTATCTCTGTTACAAACTAATGTATACAACCTCAACAAACATAACCTTTACTGTGACGTCATTTTTCCGTCAAGAAATTTGTCTCGGGTATTTTCTAATTTGTCGGATCTGTATGAGAACTATCCAAGAGTTCTGGAATCTTGTAAGACACATTAAAAAGTATACAGAAAATTGTAACTTCATATGCATTTGGATCCATTTTATTTTATATGTGTAGAAATTATTAATTTTTACTTAAAGGAAAGTTGTAATGCGCACTCGGTAACGTATTCGCCATCGGATATATTATATATTAGTTGTTATAACAATACAGTATACATGTTTTAACCTTATTGTTAGATATACAAGAATGATAATTACCAAAGATGCATAATTAAAAAGAAACTCGTAAAATATTACCGCTATCACAAAAAGTCCCTTTATACCCAGCATCACACCCTTCAGTACAAGATCCATTGATGTGGTGACATTGTTTATATTCAAGACAAGCTCCACATCTCTGTCCACAATCCTGTCCATATCTGTCACCACCACATTCTATTGCAGGTATTAAACACAACAGTGTGTTAAAAATTCATTTAACATATATATCTATAAAAGTTATTTTGTACCGTATGTAAAAATGTAATATGACTGCTTCAGAGATCAGCAATATTAGGAATCTGAGTGCACACACATTATATAATGCTAAACAGTGTCTAAAAATAAAAATCTTAACAATGTTACGGTTCTTTAGGACATAAAAATTTAATGATTTACATTTCCTGCCTTTAAAGGAAGATATAGAATAAAGTTTATTTTCCACCTTTTTCACATTGATATCCCTGATAGCCCGGTTTACACCACGAGCAAACCCCAGTTTTGATGTGACAATAAAGACAATTGTCAGGACAAGGAAGAGAACAATTAGTTTCGTAGTATCCAGCCCTGCAACCTTCAAATATCAACATTTGTAAGAAGCGAAAACAAACTTAAAAATTTATGGTTTCACATTTTATATTTCATAGGTATCCATTTATGTTACTTTACATATTAATGATTTTTCGCTCCATTTGAATTTTAATTATTCTGTTTTCTAGATTGATTTTGCGTGTCCTGTGACAAAAGTTGAAAAATGTAAACAATAAGCAGTTAAATAAAATATCTATAGAATACTGCCATTACTAAAGAAAACTATCGTTAATCTTTGTGATGAAAAGAAATAAATTCTTACACAGTTGTATTTGTGGAAAAAATAAATAACTTTATTCCTATACGTTCGCAAAATTTAATTTACAACATACCATACACTTCCACCTCACAGAGTTCTAAAAATGCGTAGGAAGAGTATCCACTTGGATAATTGATATTAGGAAGTCTCTCATTATAGTAGATAACATACTGTCCATGCACGGGACAGGTTATATTGGCGACGGCGGGTATCGAAGATCTGGTATAATTTGTATCGTGGAAACATAAATGCCCATCCAGTCGGTCTGTCGTGTTTGATACATAAACATAATACCCCAAAAATCTTGTAGTGTACAAAGAAAATGCACCTGAAATTTGAAAATATCGTCTTGATATGTAAAATCGTTTTTTCCCATTTTTTGTTCCCTCCTTTTGCAAAAGTGCCGGGGCACTTATTTTCATTCGCCTGTCTGTCACAAAAGCATTATCCCTTGTGTGAGTTTAAATATGGCTTACGTATTTAACATGTTCATTACTTGTGACAGGGCATTTCCTAATGTTCTTTTTTTACCTTATAATCCTGGCCATAAAGTTTGATACTAACAAACCGCAATAAGACCCGAATGACAAGAGACCAAAAACTCTGGAAAGTTGCATGTTTATGTTGAAAAGGAAAAAAAAATCTTGAGCCGTAGAATATAGTATTTTAGCTGTAAAGGTGCATGTACATTCCAAATCAATATTCGTATTAGACATTTGCATTTTAATCAATATTTTTCTTTTCCATATTTTTTTTTTAACTTTTAATGATCATTATCATAATTTGGCTTCATCAAATAATTTTGGAGGATGAACTTACCCCACACCCTGTTTTCAGTCCTGTAATAAATTCTTATGCGTTGAATACTGTAGATTGACGTCAAGTTTACCCTCCAGGTAACGGTTGTGTATCCATTATCTGATAAAGCACACTGTCCTCCCAAAGCTCCAAGGTTAGTTTTCAGACCATCTACAGCATTACTGGAGTGGAATCTACTATCCCCTCTACTGTACTGGTTTGATTGCCATGTTGGTTTATTTAATGCCACATTCTCTTAAAATGACGATAATCTATATATGATATTTTGTATTATCACCTTTTTTTTAGTGAAATGCATGTTTAAAACTCTGACATATTCGAAAAATATTCTAATATACCCTCCAAAGAAATTTCATATAATGAAAGTAGAACTGAAAATTAAACATTCAATTTTAGATATAATTTAAACGTCCAAATAAAGCAAATGTAATAATGCGTATGTTATACATGTATAAATATTATTTATTGCTCTTGTCACGACTATGGCACTTGTTGCTATCCCTGTTTCATTTTATCGAAATAAAATTCAATCGATTGACTGTATGTTGTTTTATGTCCGATTCAAGAATTTTCATTCATATAGAAGACGTTACCATATACTGGTGAAGGGCTTCAAATTTAGACCTTTACTCGGCACTCTGGTACATTAAGCAGTGAGGATTCTTTATCGTGCCAACGCCTGCCGTGACACAGGGCCTCGGTTTTTAAGGTCTCATCCGAAAGACCCGCAACTCTCATTTCAAAGTGCCGAGCGGTTGGCGAATGAACCGTTGTTACCTATTTTTTTTTTTTTTTTTATCGAATTAGGTCAGTCGCGGCTGTGATTCGAACACACGACCTTCCGATGAATTAAATTCGATAATGTTAGGAGACTTTTATTGCTTTCATCTAAGCTTAGTTCCCCTAAATGATGTAAAAGTAGAGAAATTGAAATCGTATTCCACAGACTTAAAATAATGAATTGAGCGATTTAGATCTACATTCTATCAAGGTCTAGAGGAACACCAATATACCTTCCTGAAAAAAAGTTTCATAACTGTCTGAAGAGCCAACACGACTGAAAGCACTTACAGTGAAGAGTTTATTTAATTTGACTTTAGCATTCCGTTTTTATTTACGTAAGAACGAGGGTTGTCCCACAATTCCGTAGACTGAGCTCACTTCTTTTTTAATAGAAATTAATGTATCTGCATAAAATCTTTTGTGTGGATAAGTTGTGTTTTTGAAAGAGAAATTACGAAGTTTTAACATGATGACTTGAAAACAGTTCGAGGAATAAGAATTGAAGTGTCGACGTCGAAAAAGATAAACCTCACCGGTTTTAAGAAATTTTAAGGAAATACACTAATTACCAGTATCAAATTCCTTAATCATTAAAATTATAAATAAATGAAATATCCTTATCATTATGAATGATTAAACATTAAAATATATAAAGAAAATTTGTGCATGTACATTCATAAAATAATATTATCTTGAAACCACAAATGTTTCTACGGGTTTTTCGTCTGCCATCTTCATTGGAATTGCACAGTGTCGCTCTTGCCCGATTCTTATGCCGGAGGACTCTTTTTATAGTTTCCCTTCTTCACATACTTGGAGAAATACTTAGAGAAACCATTTCAGATATTATGATTAACTAAGTACCAGAAGAAATTGCCATGTTTACCAAACATTTATTACTTGTGCATTTCTGTAAGAGTGAATTCAGGATCAAAACATATGATCACAGTGTATATGTGTAAACGCAGTGGCTATTTTGCAACAAGTCAGAGTTGAAACCGCTGGGTAAAAACCATTATAAATTCATATTTGTGAAAGTATACAACCAAAGTTTGAAGTAAAGTAGTTAATAACACAATATTAAAAATTTTCATTTCTATTTCCGAAATTCTGAGTAGCAAACGCTTTATTGTAGGATTTTAAATATTATAAACCGATTTTTAATTGTAATTTTTGGGTACTCTGCCGACTTCTTACACCTGTCAATGATCTATCTATAACAAATAAGGTTAATTTTTGAAATTGTATGTCCATAATTTATTAATAATTGTTGAATTAATCTATGTACACAGTTTTATCAATTAATGACACCAGGTTCCTACAAAACTACACCTGTGTACGAAATTTCGGGACAACCCTTGTATCTTTTGCTTTTCCCAAATTTATCTTATCAACACACACACACACACACCCTCACCCTTACATACACATACACACATACATGCGAAGGGTGTTAAGCCGTGACAGTTGTTAGATACAGTCAAAGTGGGGACTTCTTTATTTTTTCATTGTCTTTTGACCAAAAATATTAGTCTACCTATAATCCTGATGATAATTATAATGAGTATATAACGAAATACTTAATTTTAAGCCTAACACGTTTAGCAGCACAAACGGGGACCTGTTTCACACCCTTTGATATTCACACACCAGTACTTGATTAATTGTATCTAAACGGCGACATTTTTAAAAGAAAAAGCATACTAATACTCTCTTTTTTGCCTTTTATTCACTTAACACAACCATTCTCATCAGTGATTAGGATCATTGTTGTCTTTATAGGCACTTGAATGTCTTATATTATAAAGTGTATACATATCTTACACAAGAGTGGAACGTTTATTATAATACAATCGATGACATGTATGTATGAATTATTACTATACAATTTAGGGGACGTGTGCATTAATCATCACAATACAATAAAGGATATTCATGTATAAATTATTAAATTTTGAACAATACAGTTACCGTAGAGGGCATCTTGGTAATAAATTATGTACTGTGGAATCCTTAGATTTTGTGGTGGCTCAGTTTTCGTGGAATTCGTGGGTGCCCCTCATCAACGAATTTACAGCATCCACGAATTAATCAATTAGGGTTATAAAATCATATTTCCTTTCGTAGATATCAGAAAATTATCCACAAAATTTCATCGCCATGAACTTGTAAATTTAACAGTTTGCGAAATGGGCCCCCACGATTTTAAATGATTCCACAGTAATACTTTTTGGGTAGATGTTTTAAATAAAGAAAGAGTATAGACAAACACATGATTCTCACTAAAAATGTACAAATGTGCTTCTAGCTAATTATAAAGTATAATGGCATCAAAATTTTAACAGTTGTGAAATGTACGATTTACACATTTACCACGCTTAGATAAATAAATTCAATAAAATCAAGTAATGTATTGACTGGATAATGATGGACTTCACTTCCTTTACTTGATAGTATAGAGTCTTCACATCATGAGGGTTATGTCTCTTATTTTGGGGAGTTTTCCCTCCTGGTCAAGGGATCGTTGAATTGAGCCCCAAAACATGACAAACCTGAGTCAAAATAAAATAGAATACAACTGTTCTTCTTTGCCTTGCGCTTGAGAAATGAAGTCTTTTAGATGATACCTTAAAGTTGCAGTCCTGTGTCACAACAGGCATTGACATAAGGAACCCTCACACCTCAATCACCCTCTGTACCAAACAGAGATTTAAATTTAAAACACTTCACTGGGATCCGAGAACGTTCACATGAGTGAAATAATCTTGTATGGGACGTTACAGACAACAATAAATCCAATCTTGAGGGATGCCTGTGACGACTGATGCCTTGACGGACTTTTTGGACATTAACTCAATAAAATTTCTGCTGATGATGAAGGCTCCAACAGATACAGTTGTTTGAATTTTATTGTTGTGTCTACCTGGAAAGAAACACACACAAAAATTATTTCGTTTAAATTAAGTAAAGGTAACTATTCAATCATTAAAATTTGTTAAGGTGATCTTGGACCGTGTCGCAATTTTTTATTTTATATATATTTTTTTCTGAGTGGAAAATATAATACGTATTAGCAAATATAGATCTGTAAATATAATCATGATAATATCAATGGAAATCCAGGTGAAATTTAGGTGATATAATTATATGTAATTTAGTTTTAGGTGAATAAATTGATGAAGAAATAAATTAATGTACTCAAGGATTAAATTCATTTTCAACCCAAATAATAATGATTAATTATTAGGAGAGAAAGTGGCAATAAAGAACTTTTTGACATTCACCCCCTCCCCTTTTTTGGACCAAAAGTTTGGTTTTCAAAAGAATCAACAAACTCAACATACCTAAATCTGCTGCTTGTTAATCAAACAAACACATGAATTAGAATTTATTTTTCATCAGCAGCTATTTCGTCAGTGCGCATAGCTCTGCAGCACTTTTTCTGTGGAGAAAAGTAATCTTAAAATTCACAAAACATCTATACATCATCATGACAAATTTGTGTGAATTATCTTCACAAATTTATAAGCTAATAATTTGTTTATTATGGTTTGTGTACTAAAAGATATAAGGCAACATGGGGCGGGGTGGGGTGGTGGGTGTATAAACAATGTAAAAAAGAATTTTTTGAAGATAAATCTGCTGTGTTTTAAAACCGATTAATTAATGATACAAGGCTAACTTGTATTATAGTGACATATCAGCTATGCTAACTAGAGGTACTGTGAGCTTACAAAATTTAAAAGCTATGGATCACACTCAGATTAAACATTTTTCTGCATTAAAAAAACACCTTTATCATGGTTATATTCATTTATAAGAAACAGATATTAAATTTAATTTTCTGATAAATAGTCTCCTTACCTGTTCTACTTTTTGATGTCACAAAAAAAGTTTTAGGAACCTTGCTTTCTTGGCTCTCGGTGTATTTTCACTTTTGTTTTACATGTTTACACAACAAACACTCGAAAATCTTAAATGTCCATAAAATCTAGATGGCAATATATCTGCAACGTTCTTCATTAATAGATATAACATGTTTGACTAGAGACATAATTAATGTTACTTATGTCTCTTATTTGTCAGAAGAATTGGTTTAATTTCAAATCGGTGGTGTGGGGTCGTATCCGGGTAGTCTATCAGTCTTCATCAGCTGCTAGAATCGGGACTTCAACAGGTCCTGTAATCGGGTATCTTCGTTTGTGGAATTTTCATGAGAATTAGAAGCTTAACTTGGAATGTTCAGCTGACGATTTATTTGCTACATTTTTTTTAACAGCTAGATGCGAGTCCGGTAAATGTCGTAAATCCTTTATTTGTTTATAAAGCAATAAATGCATACAGTTTAAAATGTTTGCACATCTTTCAATTTGGAAAGAACCTTTGAAACGTTTGAAAAGATTAAAAGAAAACATTTTTCCCTTCTTCTGCGTAGTTTTCTAACTGTGGTGCAAAATTTCAAATTAAGTCCTCGTTGTTAAACATTTAGAGTTTTTGATATCATAAAGCGAGGTTTTTGCAACTTTTTATACTTATCAATAAAAGTTTAATGTAATAGTAAATGCATAACTTGCTGAACGTGGATGAAAGACAATAAATGTACCTTAAAAGAAAATGCCATTTATCAAACTGTCAAAAGTGCCTAATCATGACTTACACTAATAATATCTATAGAAGTGGATGGTATATCTGGTTGACAAATATATCCATGAATAAGTACTTGATTGGAATGATTTTCATTCTAAACAAAAGCCTTTCTACAGATGAAAAGCAGGAAGAATAAGGTAATTAAGAAACCTTACTTTAATACAGAATAATGTCTCCGTTCATAGATTTAAAATTAAATATTTATGTTCAGAAATAAAGATTTTTGTATATCTTCGACATATTTTCTATTTATCACTAAAAATCTGCATTCTGACAAAATCAACCAATTTAACACAAGTGTCCTTTTCCTCAGTTGGACACTCAAGTCCTGAGTGAGTGGGTCTCTCTAGTCTAAGAAGTTAAATTGTAAATATACATTTCGGCCTGTTATTTCTCATTTTTGTAATTAAAAAACTAACGGGTACATTTACAAAAAAAAATCTTTGTAAGGTAACAAGTCGCAGGGATAAACTTTATTTATGACTTTATTGTTTTAATTGATTCTTCGTTCACAGCATTGTAGTATGTGTAGTTCGAATTCTCTCCGTCATTGGTAACGTCACTATAAAATGCAAGCATTGTTTCAAGAATTAATAAATACGTCTTTACTTCTTGGCAAAAAAGTTATACCATTTTATTTGTATTAATATTATTTAAGTATAATGACTTTTATTTTCAAATTTGTCCACAACCAATAGAAAAAATAAATGAATGGTACTTCATTAGTTCACCGTTCAGGGTAGCTCAGTCGGTAGAGCGCTCGCTCCGTGATCGGGAGGTCTTGAGTTCGAACCTCGGCCGCGATTGACCTAAGTCGATAAAAAATAGGTAGCAACTGTTCCTTCGCCATGCGGGTCCTTCGAATGAGACCTTAAAAACCGAGGTCACCCGTGTCACGGCAGGCGTTGGCACGATAAAGATTCCTCACTGCTGAATGGCCCTGAGTTCCGAGTAAAGGTCAGAATTTGAAGCCCTTCACGAGTATACGGTGACGTCTCTATATGAGTGAAAAGTTCTCGAATGGGACGTAAAACAACATACAATTAATCAATCAGTCAATCATATGTTTCATATATAGATTTCAAACCAACATAAAAAATACACTTTGACTTAAGTATCATGTACATGATGTCAAGGAAATACGCTTGTGATCTAAATATTCAGTACAGTTACAGCATTAGTTAATATTTGGTAAAAATGAAAACTTTAAAAGCCTACCATATCCATGTGCATATCCTATTGCATTAATCAAAAAATATATTTCAATACTCATCAACGCCATACTCTAGAAGAAAATCTCAAATCTACCGGGAAGTTAAAGTAAGTGATATGTACTTTCATTTGATCGTTGACCGTAACCAAAACGGAAATATACATAATCAACATAGACAATCTTCATTTTTAAAATATATTTTACCGGAAGTTGTTTGTTCAAGTGTGCAAGTGTGCAAGTACACACTAGACATTGTATTGTGTTAATTGGTATATTTCTTTCTCAGATTCTGAAGAAATGTCATTTTTTCCCTATTCTTCATTTTCTTTATGGAAGGTAAATTTGTTTCATTCAATTGCAAGCCACGAAAGTTTGAATCAATAATGAAGTATCAGAATGTTTTATAAGTCTATAAAATATTTTATAAATTAAAATATATGACTTGAATTAAGAAATGAATGTAATATTTTTTTTTTCTTTGACCGACGTAACAAACAAAAATTTTGAAGGAAAATGTCATCAATGCGCGTAGTCTTCATACGTCGGTCAAAGAAAAAAACAAATTGTCTGTAAATATCGAAAAAGGATATATATACACCCAGTGCATCAAGTGGTATGACAAGATGTGCTGACAAACTTGTCGTCATCACAATGCTCGTGTTTTTGGCTTTGACGTCATTTATTTTACAGTTGAGTGAATGTGACTACATATCTGAGTGCATTTTTACCATATTTTCTGGCTGCGCAGTAAAAACAAATCTCATATTATGTTACCTTGGGTTTCTTTTTCGTTAGTATATGTTCCTATTTTGATGTCTAGTTGTCATTTTATATAAATTAAAACGAAGTCTTTGTTATTTATCATATCGTATTCGTGGTAGAACTATTTTCAAATTATTTCCTAATTCATTAGATTCATTTTAGGCATTTTTAAGCATGTCATTTTTTAAAAGCGGACGATTTATTTTTATGGCGTATGAGCGTGATTTAGCGTGATTTAGTGATAAATAGAGGAAAAATAGACAGGTCTGCACTTAGAAACACTTCTAATAACCTTTAACCTACTTGTGAAAGATATCTCTTCTTCTTAAATATCCTTCGGGATACTTTTAACATCATCAAAATTATCCAATTGAATTTTTAAAGTCGAGAAATACTTGAAATACTTGAAATAAAAGGTTGGAGTTGTTCGTTTGGGTTCGTTTGTCCTTTCATCATTTCCTTTGTTTGAGTGTTTCTGTCTCTTGTTACACCATACATGTAGCTCTTGCTACTTTCTGCTTTTATACACTTTTATCTAAAATTATTTTGTCTCTTAATGCATTTTCCCAACAAAATGGTGTTCCATGACGTTGAGTTCTGATGTATTAAAAAAAAAATTAATAATTAAAAAAAGCGGTCCGTACCGAACTTGTCTATGAATTAAAACAAATAGAATGTTCTTACACTCAAACAAAGAATGTAATCAAAATCATACATGCATCTCTATTAAGTGGTATAAGAATACACGAACAAAAAAATCTTTATGTTAGAAATGGTAAACAAACAGATACCCATAAAACTTGCGTTGAAACCACTAATGCTTGAAATATATATAAATATTTATATAAAAACAGAATATTATGAACTGGACAGAGAGAATTTCAGACATCAACTTTTTTTTAAAGAAATGAAGCATAAGAATTGATCAGACGGAGAGAGAGAAAGATAAAAATGCTTAATACCCAACATATCAAAACGGCTTTTACTGTTCACGGTAGCTCAGTCGGAAGAGCGCTCGCTCCGTGATCGGGAGGTCTTGAGTTCGAATCTCGGCCTCGACTGACCTTAGTCGATAAAAATGGGTAGCAACTGTTCCTTCGCCATGCGCTCGGCGCTTTGAAGTGAAAGCTGCGGGTCCTTCGGATGAGACCTTAAACACCGAGGCCCCGTGTCGCGGCAGGCGTTTGCACGATAAAGATCCCTCACTACTCAATGGCTCTGAATGCCGAGTAAAGGTCAAAATTTGAAGACCTTCGAATTCACCGGTATAAGGTGACGTCTAAGTAATAGTGAAAAGTTCCCAAATGGGACGTAAAACAACATACAATCAATCAAAACGGTTTTTCTAATTCACAAAATTATAACTTATTGTGGTTTTGTTCCTGCAATTGGTTTGATAAAAGAATCAATGGAAAAATGAATACCGTACCTCGTATTCAGGATTGAAAGACCTTAAATCGTTTAAATACTAACTTTGAAAAATTGATGTCTCACAGGAAGCCCTTTACAGTGTGAATGTGAAATGAGTAAATGTCCTGACTTACCATAACCTTTTGTACTCCAAACTGCCAACGCTATATGGTATATTTTCATCAAAATCATATTTATAAAATTCCGAACAAAAATCACTTGGAAGCAAGTGGTTAGAAAAACTATTCAGAGAGAATGAAACGTCAATACAATCTGAACATGAGCTCAGAAAACAAACTTAATATGTGTGTAGTATGGGCCCTAAAACAAAGCGCTATGTATACTGTGTTGACAATGAATCTACTTCAAGCTGATTAGCAAATGGAGGAAGTAAAGGATGTTCTTTCCTTCCCATCAGAGTTTTAATGCTCAATACAATGATTTAACAGATATTCGTTTATAAAAAGTAAGAAAATTGTACTTTATATACATAACAACATAGGGTTTATGGATACAAGCAAGGAAGATTTTTTTTTTTTTTGGCGAAAACCTCTCTAAATTCGATGTTCGACTAAAACCTGTATGTTATTTCCATAAATTTTTACCATGGAGTACAACTTGCGACTTTTCACAGCATTTCTAATGCGTAATTTTTCATATACTTTATTAAGGAACAAATGGACAAATTTAAGTAATGATTACGCATTTCTGAAATTATTTGCACATCTCTTTGATGAAATATTACATTTTAAACCAAAATATTGCTCTTTTATATTTATATCTCAAATTATACTGTAGAGGTTTTAAGTTATACATTTATAAGAAAATGTCACACTCCATTTTGATATTAAATTGTGATTCTAATTTTCAATTAGGGCTGACAATACTTAAGTGATTGGTTTTGCTTTCGCACATTTTTACTCTGAATTTTCTGGATTATAGATGTAATATTATTCATTAATACACAACAAAATTGCTACTTTTCTCAAGTATTAAGGATAAAGTAAAAAATTGTGAAAGTGCAATGATGTTTTAATCAAACGCCTCCAGAAATTCATAGTTTCAATAACTTCCAGATTAAATAAGTTTTTAATTTTATTTTCGTGTGAAATGCTTTAGCAACATATAAGTTGTGATATTATACAGAATATTTGAGAAAATATAAACTTAAAATCTGTGTCTATGCACCATTAAGAATGATGTTGCAGGTACTTTATCATTATTATTAGAGTTAAGTGGTTTGTTTGTTTGTTTGCATGTTGTTTAACGTCCCTCTCGAGAATTTTTCACTCATATGGAGATGCCACCACTTGCCGGTGGACAGCTGCAAATTTGGTCCTATACTCGGCACTTACGGCGATTGAACAGTGAGGGATCTTTTTCATGCCAGCACCTACTGCGACACGGGACCTCGGTTTATACGGTCTCATCCGAAGGACCGGTCTCCACGTCCAACAGTGGGATTCGAACCTGCGACGTAAGGATCAACTCCTTACTCCGCGACTCTAGAGCAGACGCTCTAACCACTGAGCCACGCGGGCGACAGAGTTAAGTGGTAGTGCAGCATTGAAGTGAATTAAGCATAATAATACAGACGTTTAACCTTTAAATCAGCAATTTATTACCTACAATTAAAGCACATGAATGTGATAAAGAATGCATTAGCTGTTACCGAAACAACGAAAACACCAAGTGTGCCATAGAATCTGGACTGCCAGATTGGTTCTTTCTCTGCGTGAACTACAATGCATAAATATAAGAATATGCTTTCAATAGAATGAATGAAGCAAGACATGCTTTGATACCATTCGGTATTTTTATTTCGTAAAATTAAACTTAAGAAATCTATTTTGATGGTCATTTAAGAATCAATATGTAACCTACAAACTCAGTAAAAAAAGACAAAGGTGTGACAAATTCGAATAATCAGTAAAATACAACGTCTTTAATTTCATTTAAGAGGGACGAGAACATTATTCTATAAGCGTATCAATAAGTAGAGAGAAAAACATATTTCAAAATGTAGGTAATCTTTCAAATTAATCCTTTTTTTATATTCAACACTTTTATTGCCTGTTTATTCCGCAACAAAGTAGTCTTTCCTTTAAATACTGTCTAATCAAAGCTAAACAGGAATACTAAATGAACTCTATGAAGAATAGCTGCGTTCCGATAACATTGAACACAGAAGAAAGTCCAGAGAATTTCGGGGATGGGGAAGCTGAACAACCCATTCTTTAAAAATTGAACTATTTTATTCTTTTTTGTAAAGTCTTGTCATCAATGAGCCTTAGTTTTATAAAACCTGTCTTTATTTTAATTATTTGAATTTTTTGTGTACATTCTTTATAGAATTATGCACGATACCTCGACCTTGCATTGTTAAATTTTGCAACACTTAGTCACTAGTATTAAAAAATAGCATTCAAGAAATTGTTAGCACTGACATCTTTTTTTCCACTGGGGGATAATCATCATTCTTTTTAAGCCTTATCACTTTGTATTGTTGATTTGTCTTTAAGGTTGAAAAAAGTAAATTTAAGTATCACCACCTTTTCCCAGATTAACAAACTTTCACAGTTTTTAATTCCTGATTTTTTTCCCTTCAGTTTTCATGAGCATAGCAACGTATCTACTATGACGGTCGACCCCATTTTGTTGTGTAAGGAACTTCCGAAGAGAGAAAAAAGATAGCTCAATGGGTTTTCGTATTATTAAGCGGGAGTTTGGGGGCGGCAGCCTCTAATACGTGTAAAAAAAATAAAAAAAATAAAAGCTTACCCTAGTCTTAAAAAAAAAGTTGCGCTAAGATTCATATCCGTGTCACTGTAGTTATATTGTGTTTTTTCTTGCAGTTGTAAATGCGTTTGTTAAGGGTGAGGAGCTTAATTGATCGTCAATATTTAATTAAGCTCTTTAGCTTACACTATCCTAGTATCGCTTATGCGTTCTTGTTTTTAGTAGAGATTTCTTAACTGCATTCCATGAAGACTCAATGATTAAGGTTGTTAAGTCTTCAGTGTTTTGCTAATTGAAATCTCCAGGTACTGATGTTCGTAAATCCAGGAGTATGTTAGATTAACTGCTTCCTCTGTTTCCAGAAATCCCAGATGCGTCTCTAACGTTTTATTTTTCTTATACTGCCGATTGCTGCATTTCCAAACTTGACCATCCTCACTGCATGTTTATAAATTTTTTCCTCCCATTGATTTAACATTTCCATACACCAAGGGTCACATTTATCGCTAAAATTCCAAAGACGTCAAGAATTTTGCAGCCAGTCAATTAAAAATCTCCATTCATGGAAAATATCATACAAATCATCGTGAACAAGGAGCGCGCTGAATCACTGTTTACATATAGAGTAGAAGTAAAACTTTCTATTTTACGTCACTTACCTTGACCAATCACAGCTTTGAAATAAGTAACGTGCTTAAGAACGTCATGACTTTGGAATGTGGCCGACAGAATGAAAGTGAATGGTTTGTTTTGAAAATGCTTTCATTTCTAATTAATAACTTCGAAGTTTATTAATATAAAAAATGACGAGGAATTCAAACAATAGGCTATTTTTCATTTTTTTGCCTTTTTGGCAAAATCATCACGCTGACGCTTTACTCTCTTATATATAGAGAGAGCGCGTCCTATTTCCATGTTATTTGTACGGACCAATAATTTTTTATTATCACCTAGGGGTCAAATGGGGTAGAAAAATAATGATGTTTTTTTTTAAACAAAAAGAACCTGGTTCTCAGAACTTCTCTTACATTTTATGCAGTAGCCTTTTCATCTTTTGGAAGATGATTGATTGATGGTGTCCTGTAGATGTGCAATAAGGTTTAGGAATTTTCATTTTCACCCTGGGGGTCAAAATGGTGGGCGAACACAAATTATTAGTGGATATTAAGCGGCTTTCACTAATATGCCTGTTTCGAGATTATCTTACGTGGTGCACTCTTTCGTTAGGGAGGGAGTTTTGTTTCCGCGTAAATCGGCAGGTGGGACAGTTATTTATATGAGTTACATCATCGATATACCGGTCTATTATAACTGTTTATCGGGATGTTCTCATCAACTCGAAAATAACCGATTCTAAATAAGGGAACCATTTTTTCTACCAAACAAAAAAAAAAAAAAATCAGAATTAAAAAGAAAATATCAGTGGATACGACATCAGAAAAGGGACATGGATCTCCAATACACACGCATCTGATCATTCCACGTCGGCATTCTGACTGACACAGTAATTCCTTCCCTTTTAATAATTTCAGAGAGTCCACTTACTTTTTAGAAAAAGTTTGTACAGTCAAAAAAGCATCTTTTTCACAAAAACTAAGACGGCTCTTTTGATTTCAAGTATCCTAATTGAAATTAGATTTTGTAAAGCATGTAAAATATAGATCGTTATAATCATCCAAATCATCAGTGCTTCATATTACGTATTTATGTATAATCTTTCCATAACATTAAATACATTTTATAAGTCCTAGCCATCGTCCATCTATTTATGCAACTTTGTGTACATCGACAACCTGTCACACATCTATGCTGATATGGATACTTTTTGCGCCTCTATCGTTGGAGAGCTACAATCACCAAACTTGCGTATTAACATCTATTCCTAATGTACCAATTGTTGTCATTAACTTCCTCTAAGAAGTTTCTTTCGCTTAGCATCCGTGGCAATAAAGTATACTGCTTTTGTAAATATGGCTTATTTTATTTTCTTAATTTTGAAGGCCCAATAAAGGTTCAAAGTAGCGGAAGATAATAATTTATTCATTGTAGTTCTTTTTTCTTTTATTGTAGCATGGCAAGCAAGACGCGAAGCAACATTTAATGTAATATATGCTTTTGATGTCAAGTTGTATAATGAGCAAAGTTTCATCAAAATTTGTATCAACTATATACTAATGTCTAAGAATGTCTGAATAATATCCACTGAATGAAAAAAAAAAAAAAATAAAAAAAAAAATATCGTAGCATAATGCTGCAAAATGATTAAAAATATATCTTGTCTTTTTACCACGATTAATGCCATTTAAATGAAACACACATTAAAACTGCATATAGTTTTTTCCTGCAAATTTTAAATATGATTAAATATTTTAAGTATTCAATACCCTGTTTTTGTTGAATTGTTTCCAGGAAAATTTATTTACATTGAGCTAGATTACATGCACAATGGGTAAGTGGGTAAGGCAAATTTAGTCTGTATTTACG